ATAAACCAATTACGATAACTGAACTTGAGAATGGTTGAGTTGTGGTTTCCTCTTGTGCATTACCACAGTATCATTTTATTAACTTATCTATAAAAAGAATCATTGTAATACAGAGTTGAAGTTCTTGCAAGTTTTACAATACCTTTTGAAATATATGTGAGAGTTTATGCTTAATAGAGAGTTTATGCTTTTCATCAGTTATGCATCACTAACATAGCACATTTATAGTAATATTTGTATTCTTGTACGCGTTCATTTAAGTATTTAACTCCTTGAGCTCTCGTAGAGACATCAATTTTGTAATGATATTTTTCTTTAGGTGTTAAGCAAGCTTAAGTTATACCTAGTACAACCTGGTGAGTGGTGACAACTACCCTTCATATAACTTGAGCTTAAGCAAGCTTAAGTAGTTATACTTAGCTTGGTTAATATAATACAGAGTATAATTTATCACAAAGTATGCTTTAGTTTTGTTTCCCCTTTTGTTTTTGTCTACCAAAACTGGTTGTTATAGTTTACCACGATTATGTTCTTTTTAATCAATGTATTTAATTGCCTACTCATTTTTATTTCAAAAGTATGATACCTAAATTTACTTTCAAATGTTCCAAAGTGCAAGTGTACATAATTCATCGGATTAAAGTGTCAAAAATGCCAATCTAGAAAATACTCCCTCCGTTTCTAAAAGAAAGTCACAGTTTGACTTCACAATTATTAAGGAAATAAATTAACTTTACTGTAGAGTACATATATATGCTATTACGAAGACTTTATATATATATATATATATATATATATATATATATATATTAACATACTCCCTCCGTTTCACAATCAAAGTCACACTTTCCTTTTTCGGATGTTTCAAAAACAAAATCACACTTCCCTTATTTTCATATTTGGTAAAGAAATCTACATCAAACAATGTCAAACAGTGTTAAACAATGTCCAAACAGAAAACTGGTATTGATGAACTAGACTTGATTAGGAACATACACAAAAAATTTCAGCCAAAAATACCACCGGTTCTCACGGGTTCTCATTTTAAGAGGGTTCTCACTAGAGCCCTCCCATATATATATATATATATATATATATATATATATATATATATATATATATATAAATATTGGGCATAAATTCAATCGCGCATCGCGCGTAAAAAAAACTAGTTACATACTCTGTATACAACTATATGACTAAAATTAATATTGTTTATAAAAATGTAGTCTTCTTAAGAGTAGTGACTATAATAGTAACCTAGTCCTAGTAATTTATATTTAATTTTTATATATAAGTGACTACGAGACAAAATTATAGTAACCATTAGTCATATTTTTGTAACTAAGTTGCATTGAGTAATATTTTAGGAATATTTTTGAAAAACATATATCTCAATTGGCTAACGGTCTAAAACCACAAATCATTTTAACTACTTTAAAAACCTCCCCAACTGCGAAGTACTTTGTGGTCTGATGACATTACTGTGACATTCCCAATGAGGAGGTCAGTGGTTCGAATCCCATCACAGTTCAAGTGTGTTGGCCTTAATAGAATAAATATTATAATAAGTTAGAAATTTGCCTAAAAAATCTCCCTAACACTAAGTACTATTATTATTATTAAAAAGTTTAAATATTACGGAGTAGTGTTTTTTTTAAATATTAATGTTATAATTCAATTATTATTTTTCGGCTGGATAGTGCTATGCATTATTTAATTGTAGTTTAGTAGTGGCTTAGTGGGAGAGATGATGGTTAACTTGTTATTCAGCATATGGTTGATATTGGCATGAAAAGTGGCATGTTTATTTCTTGGGTTTCCACCTGCTATGAGAGCGTTGCTAACATTATTTAACGCCCTGAATAACTTTTTTATTATAACGTGCCTTCTACAAAAAGCAATGATAAACCAATAAATGAGTCCATGCAAATATGGGAGTAAATTTACAAAGTTGTAAGTTGTAACTAAAATAGCTCAATTATATTGATTAGTAGTGAAAAAATTGTATAAAAATATGTCTTATTAATAAAAATGGCTAAAATGATTATTTGCAGGAATTTGAGCCAATTCATCAAAAAAAGTAATTCCAACCTAACTTATTGTAATCATTACACAACTCAGCCAAAAAGCGTGTTTGGTAGGAATTTTGGTTGATAAAATTGATAGGTCAAAAACAAAGGTCGCTAAATGAACTCTTAGGCTCTGTTTGTAAACCCAACTGGGAAGTGCTTTTAATTTTTTTAATGATTTGGTAAAAAAGTGATTAATAGTAAAAGTTGGCAGTGTTTGAGAAAAAAGTGATTTTGAAAAGTAAAAGTTGGTGGTGTTTGGTAAAATAAGTGCTTTTTGTGTAATAGAAAAAATAAAAAACAGATTCTAGCTTTTAGCTTTTAAGTAATTCATTTAAGTAGAAATTGTCATTTGAAAATACATTTTTTAGCTTTTTTAAGGCAAAAACTGGGAAATTTTTTGTAGTTGTGTTTACAAACAGAGCCTTATTAAGGAACAAAATGTATAATAGCTTCTACATCCGATCGAATTAGATTTTTTGAATGGAAAAGACTCGCAAACCAACAACTAGCATCCCCAAATCAGTCACCAGTTTTAAGATTATTTGTTAGAAAAAGTTTCATAATTCATTAATCACTGAACCGGCAACTTGAAGCTATGATGACTAAAACGAAGAACATGCCTTTCACAACACGCAGGTTCAAATTAGTTAAATAGATATAAAAAGTTGCTAAGAATCACAAGTAATTGAAGTAAAAGTGTTTTATATGTCTACAGTAAAACATCAGAAACACAGGAAGTCACGAACAACAAAAACAAAAAAGGTGTAGAAACACATGCAATTTGACAAATTGAAAATATCATTTAAAACAAAAAATAATTGACAAAGTGGGAATCGTAACAAAGTAACATAAATGCAAAACCAAAGAGGCCCACACGCCAAAATTTAATAGCCATTGAAAAAATGTGTTAGATATATTATCCCGGTCCAGGAGCCCAAGACTGTACGTAGTATGGAGCCCGATCAACGAGGCTTATTTTCTGCCTATCAGGCCTATTTCGGCCCTTGAGCCCATTTCGGCCCTTGAGCCCATTTCGGCGCATCCGGCCCATTAGGTTAGGCTTTTCCCCTATCCCTTTTTCCCTATAAATATGAGGCTTGCCCTCCATGTAAAGGGACTTTGGGTTGATCTCCCTTCTTCTTCTCCCTCCTTCTTAGTTTGCTTGCAAGACTCCATGAATGAGAGCTCCAAATGTACTATGTAACGGTGAGGAGAATCCTAATAAGAAAGAGAGGGCTTGAACATTAGTCTAAAAAGTCCCGTGGTTTTCTCCCTTCGGGTTTCCACGTAAAAAGAGCTTGTTCATACACATTTATACATATATTTACTATATCGTGTTAGATTAAACTCAACAAAATGTTTAAGAAAACATTTCTAGGGAATCAATGTGTCATATTCAGATGCATCTCTATTTATATTTTTTTACACAGTCATATTTAGATTTTTTACAAATAGTCATATTTAGGTTTTACAAAATTCAATAGCCATTTAAGAAAATGTTTAAGAACATTTCAAGGAATCAATGTGGCATACTATACCATCTCTATTCAGTTTTTTACAATGACAGATACCATTTCTATTTAGATTTTTTCACAAATATTTACATTTTTGTTGTAGTTTTTATGTAATCATTTTATGCCAAATTCAATAAAAAAAAGTTCTTAACAATTTCATACTATGAGTATTTGAACAAAAATAAAAATTTATACCTCAGTAGCTTTTATCAACATATAAATATGAGGCTAGTCAAGAAATAAATATCACTTTTGTAAACAGATGTGAATTGACATTGTAATCCCACCATTGCTGGCCCAACCTCTTTTACATAAAATTTACGGAGTATGTGTAAACAATTTTACGAAAAAATTGGTGTAGTGTTTATCACAAATCACACCGGACTTAAATAGATCAAACCAGACCAACAAATTACAATCCAAGTAAAAACATCCTTATTATCTCAATTAATTTTATTTTAAATATTATGCCAAACTCAATTGTAGACTACACTCACTCTATTATGAGGCCGTTTGGAACCACTGTTTTTCGGCTTATCAGGCTTATCAGCCAGCTTTTTCACCAAATACGTAACTTTTGCTTTCGCGCGCTGAATTGTGTAATAAGCAGAAAAAGTAAGGTTGGAGTTATTTTTCTGGCTGTATTGGCTGAAGTTACTGTAGATGACCATTTTAGCTATTTTTACATATAATTTTTTCTTTATTTTATTAATAAAATATATTTTAAAAATATTTTTTTCTCAAATCAGCAGAATCAGCTAATGGAGCCACTTCAGCCAGAACTTCATAAATTTCAGCAGAAACAGCCAAAACAGCCGATTTTCGTGCTACCAAAGGGGCTCTATATTGGATTAGAATATGCTTTTGTTCCTTATGATTTTGTCATCTTTCAATCTTTACTTGTCCTAAATTTTTGCTGATTTGTCTCTTCTCTGAACAAATCTCAACCAAACAACTTTCACTTTATTATTTTTTCTACCGGTCAAATTTGATAAAATATGAAATAATTACATACATATGCCTAAAACAAAGGTTCCTTAGAAAAACATGTCTAGTGACTAGAATAGTAATGAAATCATAATAACTTATGTTCAATTTTAAACATGAATTGGTGTGACACTGCATTATAATAACTACTGACATCAGTTATTTTTATGTAAATATAAATCTTATTTTAATAATATTTTCGAGAAAGCCCATGAAATATTAAAGAAGAGAAAGGAGTAAAATACTATCGAGGAGTATAGAATATGGAGGGAGCACTTTTTTTAATTCACGCTGTAACGTAAAGCGAGGATAAAATAGGACGGCAAAAAGTGACGTCACGCGCCTAGCAGATCGGTAGAATCGCAATTAGTGATCTTAGCGGCCTCTCATGTCTTATGTTCACATTAATTAATCAATGAATAATAAAGAAAAGTTGGCTGTTGCTGGCTGGTCCCAAATCTGCAGTCTTTTTTTATCTTCTTCCTCACTCTCAAACGCTAAACCCCAAATCTTTCTTTTCTTTCTTCTCCTCTATGTTCTCCCCGCCCTCCTATCACGCTCTAACAGTGTTTAATCTTTCTTTAATCATTTATAGAGACTATTATTAGCAGAATAAACAGGAAACACTCAAAAAAGAGAACCCACTAATTCTCTCCTTTTCATTTTACCCAAATCCCCATTCCGGATCTTCAACAAAGCTGCCATCTTTCAGCTGTGTTTTCAGTAAGAAAGCGTCTAATCACTCACATTTTCTTGTACTGCTCATGAATGTTCGTTTATGAGTCGATGTAACCAGAGGTGGGGGAAATGATTCTCAGCAATTAGTGGGGTACTTGATTGTTCAGAAATGTTCATATTAGGAATTGGTTTGGATAGTTCAAGATCAGTGGGCTGTCTATGAGATTGAATTTTTTTGTGGCAAAGACTTGATTTTTATTACGCTAGATCTGATCTTGAGTGTAATTTGGTAAATCGGTTTGCTGTATAGTTTTAATTTTTTGGTATGATTTGTAGTGAGATATGCATCTTTACGTTCTTGGTTTGTTGCATACATCTATCTTAAGGTCAGTTTGGGGAAATCTATTTCATTACACCATCACCTGAATGTAGTTCTGTTTGCTGTATTATCTTCTGTCTGGGCCAATTTCATTTTCTCTGGGTTGAGTTGACTAGGATTAGTTACTTTCATATTTGCATGTTAACTTTAATGTCAGATTGGCCATAGCATTGGTGGTTCATTGGTATTATTTAGTACTCCACTACTCGGTATCTTTCTAATGCGAAGTTCTCACTTATTTAAGGTTGTTGATGAAAAGTGTTTGCTTGTGCCTGCAAAGTTGTGTTGAATCTGATGGAATGAATTTGGGTTACTGCTGAAGGCTTAAGGATTAAGGAATTGAGGTTGGTCTTCTAGTTTAATCTAGGACGACAATTTTACAAGTTGATAACATGATTTTTTTGCATCAGGTGCACTTTTATTCTCCAAATACCAGGATGTCGGACGGGATAAATTCTAATGTTATATTGGATTATGTTGACTTTCAAATTTATCCAAGCCAGAACAGGTAAATAAAAGCTGTGCATAAGGTGCAAGATAAAAATGCAGAAAAAATTTCCTTTCTATTCTTCGTTTATCTATATTTTGTAATTTTTTCATGTAATTGGTTATCTAAGAAAATCTCAAGGCATCTTGCCTCCATAGTGCATCTGATAAAATTATAGATTAAACATTTAGGGCTGATGCATTTCAATAAATTTTTCAAAAACCATAGAAATCAAAACAATTACTTTTTCGTTTTGCTGCATAGATAAATATATTTTTGTAGATGGTATGATCATTTTCTATCTAATGATTCTAATCCAATGTGTGAGAATTAATTGGATCTTTTTTTATTTAAGTGTGATTTTAAAATTAAATCTTTTTTGAGTTTGTACTGCATTCCACAAGTGGTGCATGCTATAAAATTTGTAATAACCATTAGTATATCTAGTATTATAAAATTTCTGCTGCTTAGATATGAGGCATAAATGCTAAAAAGTAAAAACTTTGTAACTACCATTACTGGTATTTGTTTTTTTCACATTTATGGTGCATAGGTACGAGGCTTGCATATGCTGTCACCATGAGTTAGAGATTGCAAGTTGTGGGCTTCTGGAGCAACTGGCAGTCCATTCTTCGAAAGTTAAAGCTTTGAGCTTGGAAGGATCAGATTCTTGTTTTAGACTCGAACCCCCATATAATCTCAGCGAGGCTACATGGTTTTCAAAATCCACATTAATTAGGTTTGGGCTTCAAAAACTTTCTTTTTTTCATAGTAATAGTGCTGTTGGTGATTGAAGACTTCTGGGTGTTTAAGATATCACTCACTGCAAACCATATGTTTTTTAGGTTTCTTAATATAATTAATTCAACGGATATATTGGAAAAGTCCATTGCAATGGATAAGGAAATATCTCAGCTAGAGGAAGCCCAAAGTTTTCATTTTTCTTTATATGCAAAGGTGATATCTTATGTTTACCTCTTTAAGTAATTATTATTACTTGGTGCCTTTTCGCACCAACGAGAACTGATAAACTTGATAATTGTTGTCTTCAGGGTGATGATAATTCTCTTACACCCGATTCTTCCAAGTATGCCCTTGATACTCTTTGGTTGTGAATTTACATTTTGTCCCTTCCTAGTATCTCCATTTATTATTGTGGTTGAGCAGGAATGAATTGATGCGAGCTATAGATTTGAGGCTCACGGCCTTAAGAAGGGAGTTAGGTGATGCTTTTGACCAAGCAGCTGGTACTAATTGTTCCTGTGAGGATATTATTAGGATTGAAAAGTTCAGTGATCATTTTGGAGCTGCTGACTTGAGGTGAGTTATGGCACAGTTTTTTCTTGTGTAACCTTTGTCTGCCTATCTTATGTTTTGGATTGTGCATAGTCACATTATTCGCTGGGAACGCGGCCCCGTCTGCATCTGGCAGTTTTATATACGTCAGGACCTAAGTGATGTTGAGTACCTAAGTGTGATAAGCAATCTCTCTTTGACTAGATACAAAATTATAAACTAACATTTACCTTCTTTGGGGTGGTTGCGGACTTGCGGTGTGTCAGTTTTTTAGTTTATGATATCAAAAGTTACTTCTTACATAATATACATTATACGTTATTTACCGAAACAAAACCACTCATACTAATCATGTTGCTTTATTAGAACTGCCAATATAACACTGAAACAACACATTTTATAGTTTCAAAACTCTGTGTTTTAGTTTAAAATAACGAAAGCCAGGCAACTTACAAGTTACAACCACCCGAAGAGAAACCAAGGCATTGAATCATCCTTCTTATGATTTTTTAGGATGGAACCTGAGATCTTAATATAGTAACCCCTCTATCTCTAAATAAATTATCTTTTATTTTGTACGTGTAGAAAGAAAAAACATCAAATTTGTATTCAGAGATGAAGTACTAGACATCATTAAACTCAACAAGGAATTTGATCTGAATAATCCCAAATGATGAGCCCTAGTCTATTGGATTGATCATTTAAAATGGAAGACCAAGTTCTAATAGACTAAAGGTTTTGATATTTGAATAGATGCACCAGATGTAAATGTGAGTGATGCATTTTATATATCTACCTGTTTCAGGAACACTCTACAAATTTTTATAAGATTGAGGCAGGCGAACCAGACAGTAGTCATGGCAAATAGCAAGCAATCCTTCTTAGAACATATAGACAGCAATGAACCTATTTCATCAAAAGGGAACCCCCAATTATCTAATCTTTCAGACCCACCAGTTAGATATGGCGCCTCTCCTGCCAAAGCTGCACAAACCGAGAGATATATCTCATCAGAATCTGAGGATTCTTCTTCTTGCACGGCTGAAGAGAGGAGTCGTCCCTTAGCAAGACCTTCTTCACCAAGACGGTCCGCCTCTCCCATGCGAAGAGTCCAAATTGGACGCACCGGCCCCCGACGACCCACCGCTTTGACCATCAAAAGCCTAACCAACCACTTTCCTGCCAGAGTATTCCAAAAAGATGAAAGAAGCAATAGTGGCGGAGAGGAAGAAGACTCTGAGAAATCATCTAAAAGATCTGAGCGTATGATGAGCGTTCAAGATGCAATAAATCTTTTCGAGAGGAAACAGAAGGATCATCAACCTACTACTGTTGATGTTAAGAAGACAGTTTCTGTTGGTGCCAAAAAAGTGCTTCTGAGAAGATGGAGCTCTGGAATGTGTGGTGAAAGCTCCGAAGATCCCGCTTCAATGGCTTCCCACAACCTTGAAACCAAAAAAGCAAACTTAGATTCTGATTCTGGAGTGGGAGAGGATGACTGTGAGGAAAAAGAACCTGTTCAAGAAGTAGAGCCGGAAGATACTCCTGCAGTGCCGGAAGAAGCTCTCATTACAGAAAACAGCAGAGGGATAACTGCATCGGCTGAGTGGAGCCGCCAAAAGGAAGCAGAGCTTGACCAGTTATTGATTAAAATGATGGAAACGAACCCTGCAAAACATACTAATGCAGGGCCTAGTGATAAAAAAGACCAAAGTGCCCTGGACCTTCAGGGGAGCGGTTCAGATATAGGGAAACCGGATGATGTTGACAAACTAATAGGTGGAATTGCTAAAAAGCAAGTGGGCACGGACAGAAAGATAAGGGCAAAAGCCAATGTCTCCTCTGGAAAGGTAAACTGGTAAACACGGTTAGTGTGCATTTGGTAAAGCTTATTTTGGAGCATATAGATAATTTTAATCTCCATATATAATCAGTCCTGGTTGGTATATAAGATGATAACTTAAAATAATTTCTTACTTGAGGAGATGTCATTTTAAATATTTCCCTATAGCTCTTTACAAAATAGCACCTCTCTATCTATATTCTATATTCTATATTCTATAATCTATAATCAATATAAAGGATATGCCCTTTATGTCATTCTATGCAATCTGCAGCTCTACATTTAATTGTACTAAACACTTAAAATACAGATATGCACCGTTCGGTTTTAGCAATTTGCTACTAATGTCTCAGCTTTCCACTATTTTGCAGCTCTCTGCTGCCAAACAGGCCCTTAGTAAAAGACCTGTTAAGAGGAGCCAAAAACCACTTAATTCTTCAGAATCTGAAAATTTCAAAAGTGATGCCATTAGACCAGCTGAAGTGAAGAAAGTTTTAACAAAGGCGCCCACTTTGCCTGCCACTCGCAAATCATTGCCGTCCACACCATCTCCAAGAGCTAACACTCATGCGCCTTCAACAGCCACCAGCTCCCCTGCTACTGCACGCAGAAGATCACAGCCAACAACACCAAAAGTTGAGAAGACCACACCACTGCCTTCAACAAAGTCTGCTAAAAACAGTGCAGGAAACACTAGTGACAAGAGCCATCCAGCGGTGACCAAAACTATCAAGCCTACAAAAGCGCACATCTCTGATCAAACCAAGCCAGCTGTGACCAAACCTAACAAGGTATCCAAGAAAAGCAGTGTGGTTCCCCTGGAGTCAAAGGACACTCCAAAAGAACCAAAAACCTTTCTTCGCAAAGGCTCCAAAGCGGGACCCACACCTACAGGACCTAGCCTAAGTCCCATCACAAGAAAGAAAACTACCCCACAAGAGCAGTCCTTGAGGGACTCGGTTGATTTGGTTGAAGATCCTATTATACCTGCACCCACGGATCAACAGGGGGATGGATTTATTGATCAAGAAGGCCCTGAAACTCAGCCAAATAGCCCACCGAAATGTTTAGAGACAGAATGTTCTGACACACTTACCCTGGAAAACGAAAATAATTTTTCTGAGAATCTAGAGGAAAATCTGATTGAAGAACAGGTGATCAATATATCCCCAACAGCCTGGGTGGAAATAGAAGAGGTTGACAGTGGAAACCCTTCAAAAGTTAACGTGGGGCCCTTGAGTGCTGGCAGTCCACCACGAGTACGGCATTCTCTCTCTCAAATGCTGATGGAGGAAAGCAGTGAACCTGAGATTGTGGAGTGGGGGAATGCAGAGAACCCGCCAAACATGGTGTATCAGAAGGAAGCGCCGAAAGGGTTCAAGAGACTCCTTAAGTTTGCGAGGAAGAGTAAGACTGATGGTGAGGAAGACCATGAGGAAACTAGAGGAGGTTCTAAGAAGGGTTCTGACAATTCACTACTTAGGAAGAACACACTTCATGCCCATCAAAATTCAACTACCCATCAACATCCTGGTATACTTTTTTACTTCACTTCCTATTTTGTCCTAAAAAAACAACATAGCATGCGTACAGTAATCTAGAAACTAATCTTTCTCTTTTTCTTTTTCTTTTTTTAGGACAAGCAACTATTGGCAAATTAGCTGCTCAGAAACGAGAGGAAGGTCACATTTCAGCTTCAGTAACCTCTGCAAAAGGTCAGTTTTTTACTTTCTTTTTTCTGGGTTATACGTATTCATCCACAGCCAGTGTATATTTGAACATCAGTACGCCGCTACGCCACGTGGCCAAAGCATTCACTTCAAATTCATATTTGTCCACTATATTTATTTTAGTAATATATTTGTCCTTATTTTTCCTATCTTTCTTCTCTTTTTGGCTCTGATATCATTGATGGATTCATGTTAGCCGACACCAAAATCTTTTGGAAATAAGGCTTGGATGATGATGATTTGCCCTTTTTTCATTCTTTCTTTCTTTCTAGTCCCTTTCTTCATAGAAATGCTTGGTACTTTTGTAAACAGACATGGTCTAAAACAAAAATAGCGTAAACGGTATATTTGCAAGGACGAAACACATATTGAAGCTTTTTTAAAGTCGCTCTTATAACCAAACATTGTTATCACTGTAGTAGGCATATGTTTTTTGTCATCTTTAATAGTATGAATGCCTTTCATTTCAGCATCGAGATCGTTTTTCTCTCTTTCAGCATTCAAGGGGAGCAAGCATGGCGAATCTAAGCTTCGATAACACAGTGGTCCTAATCTTATCGTCTCTCATAATCCGTGTAACTTTAGCTTCGGCCATGTGCAAAGAGGTGGTGGAGTACATGCTGTAGCATATCTTGTTCATATGCACTTCATAGATCTTACTGTTTTTGCTTGAAGATTCATATCTCCATTTTATTTATCAATAGAAACCAAGGTATTTTTTGTAAGATGAAAAAACAATGTTGAATATGTAATTTTATGCAGCCTGATCTTTTGTTTATATCCTGTACAATAAGTTTGCTATTTAATGCTAAGCAGCCTGACCTTTTGGTCTCTCGATTTTTTTTTTTTGGAGTCTGTATGGACATTATGAATGAACTATAATGCTTTTGGTGAATTGAAGTGTTGACTTTGTCATAATTACTAAAACTATTACTCTAGCTGCCTATTCTTATAAATATCTGTACCATAATTACATAGATCGCTAGAAGAGCCACGATCTGTAAACTGATTGTTCTGTTCCCAATCGGCAATCGCGGTACGAAAGCGATCCAGTCACTACAGCCTACAGGGAATGCCATGCCGTACGCTTGGCTACTGGATCCTAATCGCTGTTCGAATTTGATCCCCAATCGTTGTGCAAATTGATCTCAATCGTTTTTCGGTTCGATCGGAAATGATTTGCATGTCTTCCCCTAAAGCGTTTTCCCAGTGACACACTTTTGGCACTCTGACTTGTCGTTTTGTATCAAAGTAATCAAACGTGCAATTTCCAACTCTACAAGCGCTGCCTTTTCAGAGGCTTGTACAGGTGTACGATTTCGATCCAGCCTCTTTGTTTTTTGATCCAACTCATCAATTGTACATTCTAACTCTTATAAATTCAGTTATTCAGTTAACATGTTCTGTTTTATAGGTGGAACTACAAACACTCTACTTTTGACTTTTGAGTCAATACTTTCTATAATATTAATGTTTTTTATTTTTTTAATGTTATGAAATTATGTTATGAAATACTCCCTCCGTCCCATTGGACTTTACCAATTTTTCCTTTTTGGTTCTCCCAAAAAACTTTGACACTTTCCCATTAAAGCAACTGATTTGTGGTTCTGCACATTTCTCTCTCTTCTGCGCAATTGCGCAAATTTCAACCACACAGTTTTTACTATTCTTATTTCTCACCTACTCTGTACTTGGCAAAGTCCACCGGGACGGAGGTAATATGTTTTTATTTAATGTTACGAAATCTGTACCAAAATATAAGGTAAACCGTACCGAACGTAAGGTACACCGTACCGAACACATACCGAAATGAACCTACCCCCCTCCGAACCGGATACGACGATACGCTAGATCTAGCGGACCACGTTCCCATTCCTCGTTCCCATAGCGAAGCGTTCCGCGAACTATGTAACTACATTGATGTATACTCATTTTATGCAAGATAATATAAACACTATTTCATTGTTGAATATAGGAAAACTATTTCATTACATGAATTAGTTGTGAATTAGGAATAGGGTGATTAGTTGTGTTCGAGATAAAAGAAAGGTAAATTTTATTTTTTGTTTTTTTTAAGAATTTTATTATTTAAATTATTTGGTGTTTTTTTATAAAAAAAATGATACGTGTATCTGTCAGAATGTGGGCCGAAATAATTAGAAAAAAAAGTTGGAAACTTATAATAAATTGCAGATACGTTATTGCACACCACAAATTTCAATATAATATTGCGTTTATTTTCTCAATAATTTTATGTTGGTTGATTATATAGTCATTTAATTTATAGTTCATTCAATTTTCTCTTATATACTTCCCCCGTCTCTAAATAATTGCAACACTTTCTATTTTTGGCAGTTTCAAATTAATTGCAACACTTCTTCTTTTAGTAAATAAAAATGAATGGAATGTCTTTACTGCCCCTATTTAATCTATGCAAAAGTACTTCGGAGTTTGCACCTAACTTTTCTATTCCACCCTCCCCCACAGATCTGCCATCCCTTTCTCTTAGCCATCCACCCATTCAGTTATCTTCTTCCGTAGCATTTCTTTTTCTAATCCAAAGAGCCTAGCGTATAAGGACTAAAGGTGGACCAAACCAATCTTACAAATGTGGAGGAAAATCCGAGAAGGGTAAAGAAGAAGAAGAAGGCATGTTGCGGCGGCCCTTTTCATAGATTTCAGGGAACTTGCCGGCTGAAGCTAAGAACGGATTTTCCAAGAATCGGTAGAATTCAGGGGAGAAGAAGCGTGTCATCAAGAAAGAACATCTTGCCGGAAAGTTTCGCCGTCGTGAAGACATCCCAAGATCCACCGAGGGACTTCAGGAAATCAACGTTGGAGATGATAGTAGAGAACGACACCAGGACGTCTAGGGACTTTGAAATATCTTCTTGCTTCCTTTTTGTCTATCAATTCCGATGAGTACCATGAAGGATTTCAAACAAATTTGGTCCGATAATGTTAGGTAGAAGTAGCTTAATTTTAAAGTATAGCTTGTGTAATCTGAAAAATAAAAGCAATTGTACTGTTGATGTACAGTAACATGTCTGCCACTTTTATTCATTTGTGTGTGGGACTGAAGGGTATAGTGGGAAGAAAAACACTTTATTCATGTTTCTTAATTCTTGTGCCTACACCTCATGTTGCATCTATTTAGAGACGGAGGATAGTATATTTTATTCATATGCGCATTGAATCTCACAAGTCATACCCTAGGTGCTTTGTTTTAGTAGTAGTATTGGGATTTGGGACCTTTCATCTTTTCCTTTTAGGTTAATTATCAAAATAGGACTAAAAGTCACTCACTTTGCACAAATATGACCCAAAAATAAACTATGTTTTCATTGGACTAATTATGTGTGTCTTGGACATATATACTCTTATAGCTATTGAAATGTTTTAATTCATAATACAATAATAAAAAATAATTAAAATTCGTAAAAAATATTAAAAAATTAATAAAAATATGTAAATAATAATAAAATTAAAAGACGCAAAAACAAAAAAAATCACCGCCGCCTCTGCCGCCCCAGCACCACCACCTCAAGTCATCTAGGGAAAATATGCCAAATTTATTACGAATGCCATATTTTTTGCAGAAGTCAGAATGATTCAAGTTGGCAGAATGAAAATGTTGGCATTCTCAAAGAGAAATATGTCATTTTTAGAAGAAAAAAATGGAAGTTTTTAGTAAATATGACATTTTTTTAAACGGTCGGAGGTGGTGGTGCAGGAAGGCAGTACCACCACCTCCTGTCACCGGGAAAAAAATGTCAAACTCATTACGAATGTCATATTTTTCGCAAAAGTCGGAATAATTCAAGTTGGCAGAATGAAAATGTTGACATTCTCAAAGAGTAATATGCCATGTTTTTGGCATTTTCATAAAAAAAAACGGCATTTTTTACATTGATCGGAGGTGGTGGTGCAGGGAGGTAGTACAGGCGGTGGGAAAGCTAAGGCATCCATATTTTTTAATTTTTTTAATGGAGTTTTACTATTTTTTTTAATTAATTTCCAGATTTTTTTTAAAAATGGTTTTTTATTTTATAAAACTTTTATTAATTTTTTTATTATATTTCCATGAATTTTTGAATTTTTTTAAATTTATTATGAATTAAACATTTAATTATGACTTTTGACTATCTTTTACTCATATTTAAGGAAGGAGTAAGAATTGAATGAAGAAATATGTATGTTTCCAATAGGATCAATATGGTCTTATTTTAGAATAAAAACATACCAAATTCTATTTTGAGTTTTTGTCATAGTTTTAGTTTAGAAATATGTATTTTATTTTCAATCGGTTGCCAATATTTGGGTTTAATTAATGTGTCACTTCTGAGCTTCCTACCGTTCAATTTGTAGAATTTTAAATCCATTTTGATTTTACAATGTCCTATTCGGTAATCGGTTATTTGCCGCGTGAGCTACTTATGTTAGTGATTTGATAACAACCGATCGAATTAACTTTTTGAATGGTTGATTATGATAGCTATTTGTAAATAATTGATTGATAAATTAGCCGGATAGCTATACTTGCTATTTTTTAATAGTGAAAAAAATAAAAATTAGGGGAATTCTCCCAAATAGAATTAAATGAAACTTTAATGGGTTTTTTCCAATAATATTATTAATATAAAAACTTATTTACATAAATATTTGTATTAGTTATTATATAAAATATTTACATAAATTTAAAACTTGAAAATAAGTTACTATAATTGTATTACAACTCCAGTGACTAGTCTCATTTATGTAAACATTATTTATTTTAGTTATAAATATGTAATTATATCAACTTTATTGCAAATTAAGAGTATAACTTTAAAATTTCTTAAATAGGACTAGTTTTCCAATTCTATCATGCTTTGTTTTAATACGATTCATATTTCATTAATAATCTATTTATATACTCCCTCCGTTCTCTAATAGATGAGAGTATAGGCTTTGACACAAGATTTAAGATGGAATTAATAGGGGTAGGATAAAAGGTGCAGTGAGTTGTGTGTAAAGGAAAAAGTAGAAAAAAGAATGAAAAAGTAGGAAAGAGAATGAGGGTAAATGTGTATATTTATTGAAAAAACTTACCAAAAGTGGAAAGGGAGACAACTAATAGAGAACATCCCAAAATGGAAAGAGAGCCAAGTATTAGAGAACGGAGAGAGTATAAGAAATGAAATACCTATTGTAAAATACGGAGTACTATTTTACTCCAAAGAATGATGCATTTTCTTTTCTTTTACCCAAATTTCACTCCTTTAATATACAACTTTAATGTCTACTTTAAGAAAAGTCGAAAACCGCAAAGGAAGATATAGCCAACTACGGAGTAATATACGAAATAATAAGGAGAAATGAAATTCATGAGCCCAAACTATAAAAAAACGAAATTTTCTTTAAAGTGTTAAAACTCTTTCGTTTTTACTTCAATTTTTACAATAAAAATATCAAAATTTATAATATTTTATATTTTTTTCATATGGCACGAATATTGCACATATAAAATTTAAAAAATATATAAAAAGTTTTTACGTAATATTTCTAGTTTTCAACCTCGATATGAATTATTCAGTATTAAATAAAGAAATAATTCTTTTTTCAAAAAAAAAAATAAAGAAATAATTCCTAATACATGTCCAAAAAAGGAATAAAGATTAAAAATATGACTTATTAACTATTAGTGACTATAATTATGTTAAAATTAGGCTTAGTTTTTTCTAGTCCTTTCAAATATGACATACTTTATTTTAGGTCTGTTCAGTTTTATTTAATAAAATATGAGGATACTATAGAAAATATCACATTTTATTAAAATACGTCACCTTGTTTAAACAATGACAATCTTGAGAAAATCTCAAAATGTTAAAAGAATGTCAAACTTGCTAAAAAGTACTTCTTCTGTCCCTTAAAATTCTTCCAATCTTCCCCTTTTAGGTCGTCCCAAAAAGTTCTTTCCACTTATCATCTTTGGACAATTTGCGTGGCTCACATTCATTTTAGAGAATATTGCCCGAAATAGGACTAAAAAGGTTTGAAAATTTCAAAATAGGACTGTCGTGTTTTTATTCCCAAAAGAGGACTAATTAGTGTC